GCACATCGGAAATTGCAGAATTTTTATTTCTGTTTATTATTTTATTTATTTATTCATTGACGAACAACAAAGATCTTAAAACCTACAATATTATCGTTATAAGAATCAAGTTTACAGCACGAGATAGTAAAGAGACTTCATAAAAATGAAATAAGAAAGTAAAAGAAGAAATTAAAATACCAAAATTAAATTAAGAACAATAAAAAACCAAACATAGAAGATATTTTTTAAAAATACGTATGACTTAAATCTGAAAATAACAATAAATAATTATCCATAGCAGATATAGCGATAGCCTGCGAGCTTAACAAAACAGTTTGTCCCCATATCCGGCCAACAAGCAACTACCTTATATTTGCTTCTCACCTGACGTTTTGTTGGTTGGTATGAGAACCGCCAATTATAAATTCGAATAAAAATTAAATTGCTTACATACTCCTGATATAGTTGGGTATTTCTTTAATATTTTTAAATATTTTATAATGTTTGTAAATTTATTACTGAAGGTCTTGCAATATTCTCATAATGCTATACAGCACTGCATTTAGCGACTAGCGATACCTATTTATACACATTGGTGAAGAAACTAACATACATAAACTAAATAGAGTCCATTTCCAACTTGTCTTCCGAAACTAACCTTTGAATATTTTACATATATTCTACATAATATGCTCACAACTACATGCTTTGCATTTTACAGCTGTAAACCGTAACGACTGTTTTGGTAACAATGTGCAAACTACGGAGATAAACCTTAATGTCATGTGTAAGCTGTGCAAGTGAAAGTCAAATAAATTTCATCACAATAGCCAAAAGGTCGGAGTTAAAGTAAAATGTGCATTAAGCAGTGCGCCAATGGCATAGAAATCTGCGACGAAGCCGACGATAGCGGCAATAAAGAGTTCGACATTCATGAAAACGAGGATGCGCTGAGCAAGCTATATACACAATTGCAATTGCAGTCGAGATTACAGAAGCTGGAGCGTAATCACATGTCGAGAAAGTCATTGAAGAGCGCCAGGCTGTCGGGCTGGAAAATATTGGCTTGCTGTTGCTATTTTATAATCATTGTTGTGCTAATTTAGAGTCATACTCTAATAACAAATGAATAACAACAAGTGTTGAAGAATAACAACAGGTGCAACAATAATAACATCTGAAGCGTCATTCATTGCGACTAAAACAACATCAACAACAGCTACAACAAACATTAACTGAAATCCACTAAATACACAAAAAGCAGGTAAATAAAAAGCAATAAACACATTATTGTTGCCTGCTTTTCAGCACTCTCTATGAATTATTTTTCCCACTTACTACATACTTACATACACAGACAAAAATATAAACTGAAACACAAACACACACGGATTGATATTTTGTATGTGGCATTTTGTCGCGTGGGCTTTTATTGAAATTAGCATTAAATTGATTTATGGCACAATATGTTAATGCCATACATTACGCATACGCCGCATTGTCTCAGGCGCTTCTTGTTATATTGCCTGATTACTCATATACCGCATGGCTTTCCTTTATTTCTTTCTTTTTAATGAAAATTGATTTTACAGCACAACAAAGCACATAAAGACCTCACATATGTACATATAGTATAATGCTCGTGTGTGTGTGTGTTTTTTTTTTTGTAGTTGTGCATTTCATTTTACATTGCTGACCTACATTCACTTGACGATGGGGGCTTGGCCTTTGTGGGTGTCGTTCGTTTTGACAAACTAAAAATGTGTGTGCTTGAAATTCTTTGTTATATATGTGTGTAAGAGGGGAGCTCTGGCAGAAACTAATAGTAAAATTTGTAATTACATTTCAAGTAAATAAACAAGATGAAGCTAAGGAGATATTTAAAAGAGGTTGAATATGCTAGATTTTTGCACATGAATATTGTTTTTCATTTACTACTAATAATGATTTTCGATCATAGGTGCTTTTCAATAATCAGATATTGTCAATGACTAATAAAGCCAATTCTATTAGTCGATAGTCCAAGGAGTTTGGGATAGACTAAGCTGTTATATATATCATTTGCTCACATGGAGTAAGGCCAATCAAATGTTATCAAGCAATCCAATTTAAGTATGCAAGCATATCTTTTCTGTTGCTTAAGAGCTTTTTGACAACGAGACAAGTCATTAATTAAATTGGTTGCTTGTATTCTTTGGAAAAGTCAGCTAAATTTAGCTCGAAAAATTGTCTAAAATAAAAATAGGAACGTACTTATGGATGTAGTTAATGAAGGAACTACAAGTAGTATTGGAATCAGTTTTGGAAAAGAAGTTAGAATAACAACGTCTCTATCCAAACTATTAACTGGCTGACCTCTTCTGTGGACCTAAGTTCCGTGAAGAATGTGTGGGGCATTTTAGTTAGAGGGGTTTATCTTATCTTATCTTATCTTACCTTATCTTCTTGTTATAATAACACTGACGAGCTGAAGACAGAAACTTAGCGAAAAGGCTAAGCTTGACTTTTAAAATGTAATTATCTGATTCAGCGAAACAAGTTGTTCGCTGCTAAGGCCGGAAGCGCTTCTATTAATTACTAAAAAGTCGAATACCCCCAAAACGTTTGGAAAAAGTAAAATTAAAAGTTATTTTTCTGCTAAAACTAATCTCTCGTCATCATTTTAATTGTCTCTTTTTATTTTATTCAACATATTTCAATAATGAAACACACCTAAAAAATATTTAAATAATCGATGATATTCATCATCTTTCATATATTGTTGAGGGATAATATTTACTTCTCTTGTGCATCATCACAAAAAATGAGTTAAATGAGATACTTTGTTGAAATGAAGGCAAGCTGAGGCTCTCAATTGTTATTATAGGTCCCACAATATGAAAATCAATGAAATATCTGCGCCGTTTGCTGTATCGTACACATAGAATATGCACATTTGTAGATTTTCTTAAAGCTTGCCAGAAAATTAATTAACATATAAAAAACGTGTTTAAAAGCGTTCTTCGAAGTTTATGCTGGAAATATATATATTTTTTCCTTTGGATGCTTGTGTACTTAAATTTATAGCTTTGCGCTGCTGCTGTTGCACATTTCATTTTATTTTACTTTTTTTGGTGGCAGGAGAGCGTGGAAATATTTCATTATTTTCGCGCCAGCGGCAAGTTCGAGTTTTAAGGCGCACATAAATGCAATGTACACTTCTACACAGACATATTTGCACATAAACATATATATATCTATATATATATATATATATATATGCCATTGATATGTGCAGCCATAAACGCGCATATTTATATTTTATATTATCGAACTTTACGACTGCAGTAAATAAAGGCACAAGGAAGTGTGCTTGCACTTCAGCATGAGTCACCACCTCCTTCGGTTTTTTTTGTTGGGAATTTTGAAATCCTTTTTCTTGTTGTTGATGGTGTGCACCATGTGCCTTATCTATGTATGGTACATACGTGTAAATGCCTACATATATACTTATTATGCTATATACTTATGCCTGTTCTGCTGCTTATATAAACAAGCTAAGCTGAGCTATCTATCTATATTATGCATAAGTATGTAAAGACATAGGTACTCGGGTCATAAACATGTGCAGGACAGCAACAAAAAGCTTCACGATAAATCCATTGAATATGTTGGAAACGTGTATTAAACGTGCCACACACTCAGACATACAAACGCATATGCACACCCACACAGAGTGGCAAGCTGAGCCCAAAAAAGCGTCCGTTGACACACACGTTGAGCGCACAGCTGCAGATGAGATACGAAAATTGTACGAAAAAACTTTCTGCCCAATTTAACCGCACAGTGGATGTAACTTTATTGACATACAAAACAACGTATTATAATAATATTGATGCAGGGCAAAATATAGCATCGTGTCTCTCTCGACTAATAATGCAAGTCTGGAAGCTGCACCTGAGCTGCCTGCTATCAATGAGGTCTTAAATATACGATTGAACAAAACCTACTTGCGACCGACGCCATTACCTATTTCAACAATATCTAATCATGAATTCGACTCGATGGGGGAATTTGATTTGCTTATTTATTAATAAAACGAGCTTCTTTAAAATAGTTCATTCCAAAGTAAAAAGGACTATTGAAAAATAAGAACAAACAATCATTTTACCAAAATAAATTTATTTTATTTCAAATAGTTCCATTTGGACTCCAAAAGCATGTCGAAGTAGTGTGCTAGTTCGTTGGGCGGCATGGCCTTGAGATCGTCGGTAACAGCCTTTTAATTGGTTGCTTCGTTCACATAATGCATTCCTTTAATTCAAAAACATAAAAGTCGGATGGAAGGGGAGTAATTAATAGTTAAAATGCAATTTTTTTCTCAAAAAATCGGTCCCTATTTTAACCGAAAAGCCCAATTTGTGGTTTTTAATCAACTTATTCAGAACAGAGCTAGAACCAGATTCTGCTCGATTAAAATGCGTTTAATCGTTGATTATGAGATATTTAGTTAAACATTTTTATATTTATTTATTTTTATATTTCACTAAAGAGTTTGGCTTGTATTTGAAATTACAAATATATTTAATTTTTATTTTATTTTGATTTATGTGTTTGTAAAGTGCTGTCCACTATGCAGCGAAACCGACAGACTAAACATATACGCATATCTATAGATATTGTATTTCTTTTGTATGAATAACTAAACCCTTTATTACCTTTTCGGTAAATTCACAAACATACGCCGCACACCAAGCCCTGTCAAATGTTGTTTCTTTTTGTTATTGTTGGCGGATCCTGTTGTTGGGAAATCAAAGCATTGTTGCGTTGACAGCCAAAGCAACACCCCCACATCCACATGCATGAAAATAATATGGAATTGTTATTAATGTATGTCTGGCAAGGTCAGAAAATGTTTATTTTAAATGGGATTGGCATTAGGTAGAAGTGGGGACACGAATTGGTAGAATAAGCATATATTTTACTATTAATTATTATTATTATTACTAAATATGTATTCTTCTCTTATTTACTTGCAGCTTTGCATAAATAATTAATGGTTCCAGCGCATAGGTGTCTAAGAAATATTCAACATATATAAATATATAACGCATTAGTTTACCATACCTATGTATTTGATGTTAGTGTTCGTGTGTGTCTGTGTGCTTAAAATGTTATCTCGTTAATCCTATTTACGCATGTGAAACGAATAATTATCGCACTATGTCAGAAGCAAACATTTAAAAGCACAAAAATAAAATCATATTAAATTATAGCCTGAAGCTAGAAAGGAAAATAAGTGCGCGTGTGTGTGTATATGCGAAGCGCGTGTGTAGCTCAGCTCAATAATAAAATAATAATAATAAAAACAAAGCAGTCAACGGCAAAAGCATACAACCAACACACAATGAATATGGTAGCCGTCATAGCGCTTTTCAAATGAAAAGGATAATGAAAATTGAAAAAAGGTGGCGGCGACTCGTGCAACAACGGAAAACAGCGCAATTTATGAAACTAATGCGAACCTAATGTGAGTACTGGCCAAATGTTTTATTGATTTTTTATTCTAGACAAGCATAACACATATATGTATAAGTAACTATTATGGTAAATAGCTGTGCCAAACTGTGAGCGTTACTGAAGCGAAGTTTTTCAATGCTTTTTAGCCTCGAATTTATAATGGAATAAAACAATTATAGAAACCTGTTTAACTATTTTCGTACTCTTGATAATTTTAATTGGAATGAAATATTTGCTGTCATTTTTAATGACAATGCTAAAGCTAGTTTACATTTTAAAAGTTGTATGTATTATATATAGTCTAATTATATTTGTTGATATTCAAAAACGGAGCAGCGCAAGAGAAATAACCAATTTTAGTTTTGTCACCATAAATGATATAGATTAAGTAAAGTAAGTTTGTAAAAAACCTCTAACGATCTCTAGAAACTATTTATATTTATTATTACATAGAGTAGAAAATGCCACTAATGGTCAACCAGTCCATCGTAATGAAATTTTAAATTAAATTTGTTGTTTTTTTATTTATCTAAATGGACATACAAGACATATAACATTAGTAGTGAAGACCACTAATCAAACGCTTTTGGTATTTTTGAAGCATTTAAGAGTCCTGCTGGGTCATTCATTCTAGCGATCTTAAGAATCTTATACGCTCACTACGAAAACAATTTGTATTCGTTTTTTTGAAGCGAAGCATCGGAAATCGCGCTACTTTTAGAGAATTAATTGTCGATAGGGTATTTCATTATCAACAAGTTGCAACTTTTTATTTATTTTTTACGTTGTAATACAATTTTGTCGGTTAAATTAGAATGCTTTATTAATTAATTAATTTTAAATAAATATATTTTACATTCAAAGGTAAAACGTAGAAAGCTACATATGCATAGTATATACTATACTAGTATAGTAAAATTGTAAAAATATTTCAAATCATCCCACAAAAGTTCCACTAATGTTAGCTCTATAGAATTTTATTTTTATTTCGTTATAAGAAAATTTCCTACTGTTTTCATTTATTTGGCTTATAAATCATGAAAAACTTTGCCTCTGTCAAGCCTACAATTTTTATAACATAGTTGTACTACGGTTAGAAAAGCAAATAAATTACTTATAATTTCATTAAACTTCACAAGAAGGCCATGCAAAGTGAATCTTCTGTAGGGAATGAGCCAATTTTATTAGGTAATATAACTGCTTTTGATTGAATTCACTTGAAAATCCTGGCATATTTTTGAGTTTTTAGAAGCTGTGCAAATTGTTTGCCTATCTAACCGCAGCTGTAGATTTTAGTGTACAATTGAATCTACTTATAGATAACATGTATATCAAGAGTTTCTCTCAACATTACTCTATAAGTATATCACCACAATCGTTTAATATTAAATTAACAATTTATTTTAGGTCGTTTTGAAACACGTATGCTCCATGTATGATTAGATACAATTTTGTAGATTGTATAAAACAATAAACGAAAGCTAGTTTTATTTGTTGATTACTACTGGTTAAACAGTTTCCCTAAAACGTAATATAAGTAGGTTGTATTTAAATAGATTTTGAAAATCAAATCATCATTGCGTATGCGTAATGTGCAACACCTATTCGGATATTGCGCATACGCAGCGTGTACAAAATTATTTAACAAACATCAATATTTAATGCACGAAAATTGTGAAATGTTGTCACAAATACGTCGGACATGCGACATTTGGGCTCAAGGCGAAAGGCAAACAAAAGTTGCAAAGTGAAACCATAAACAGGCAACAGCACTTTGTACACATACTTGAGCGAGTGTGCCTATGGATGTGATTGTCTGTGTATCTATGCCCTTATAGTCCAATGTTTGCCTGACTGCTTGTCTGTTAGTCAGTCATATTTGTCTGTGTACTAGTCTGGGTGTGTGTTTGTGTGTGTGTCTACTGTCAATAGCAAACACAATTTTGAACATGCTGAGTAATTGTTTTATTGCACTCGCAGGACCAACATAAAGCATTTTGTTGAGAGGACAAATCAAAGACAGACCGGCCACACACACATAAGTCAACATAAGAGCATGCGTATGTGTGTGTATGTGTTCAGTGCGCACATTATAAAGCCATAAAAAAATAAAAGAAACAGCTCAGCCAGCACTTTGGCTTATCAAAAAACCTATAAATATTAAGGCTAAGCGCACAGTACATGAAAAATAGATCAAGATTATAAAATAAAATTGTGGCTCATTCATTTTTTTTTACATGTCAAAAATATATAAATACACATACATATGTACGTCATGCACGTGTATATATCATGAACCTTTTTATGTCATATTGTTGAATATACTCGTATATAAATTTGTTGGTTTGTATATATTTTTATGAGTGTCTGTCTATGCCTAATTGGCAAGTCTGCATATTTCATGAGTTGTCAGGCCAAACAAATTTACAGAAACGCCTGTCCATCAGCTTGAGGGCTTGTTGACAGGCCGTGATTAGGATCGCTGCATTGACTGAAAATTATTGCCATCGATTTGTGGCTCAATACATTGGGGACTGTCTTAAATATTATACTGCATGAACACATTTTCATGGCTACACATAATGTACTAGCCTATACGTATAGTATATCAAAAAAGATTGAGGAAAGAGTAATGCCCTCTACTTTGAGGCTATTCGCCCTATCGTCTACTGTTTTTATATAATTCAGGCACACATTTTCTTGTTAGTTGGGTGGAACTCAGAAAAGTATTCACTGCTTTTAATAAACGTGGTAAATATTTATATCTCTATTATTTATTTATTTTTGTTTCTTATTTTTTTTATTTATTTCATCGACAAACAATCGATGTAAAAGAAAAAAAATCAATACAATTGAGAACTTAGAACGAAGAATTATTGTCCACTTAGATTGAAAGTTTTCTAAAAATTGTTTATAATTTATTTTAATTATAATTTGATTTAAGTACACTGCGGGAGAGCCAGGCAACAACAAAGCTGCTACAACTATCATTATAAGTATAAATAACTATGTGCTCTGACCTGATTTATTCATTAAAAAAAACATATTCAAAACAGTAAATGGCACACTAAAGTGGGGAATTAAGAATATCACTGCGTTGTAAGGGAACTGCTTATGGATGTTGTACTGAAATTTCATGCCTTGTGCAGTCCTTTTTATCGTGTCATTTCGAACTTCATGTGACTTCGCCATTTCCTTTTCGATTCTGCAACTCCTAAAGTCCGCATTTTGCGGTTTTTTGAAAAAATTATAGGAATATGTTGTTGATACCGGGCGGTTCGCAATTTATTAGACCTGGAAACGTTGAGGCCATCTTCAGTTTTTTTGTTCATGCCAATTGTGTCGTGCACGTTGAGTGGAGGATACAATAACCAATCATGCATGGAAGTCCAACATGAAAGTCATTTTGCTGGCTGCGAATTGTCAGTCGAGCTGCTTGACATTACGTTGCGTTAATTAAGTAATTTGGTTGCCACCCGCTGCCATACCATGGCTAGTCACGGTGCTGGCAGTGCCAATGTCCTGCCCCAATCCCCAATCTCCAGTCCTGACGCCCACACCTTTTAAGTGTGGGCAAACAAACGCAAACCGCGGCAAAAATCGATTTGTGGCCAGTTTCGTGCTAGGCTTGACGCTGTTAGGTGTTGGCAGTCATCGGAAAGGGGTTTTATACTTCAATGCTTTTTTTCTATTTTTTTCCAAAATCGATGGCATGTTGGGCGCATATTAATTTTACAAATTGAGAAAATATCGTCAATATGTGAAGGTGAATGAAAAAAATTCTAACACGCTGCGGGAGCTTTTTATACCCTGTACCCATAGGGTAAAAAGGGTATATTAAGTTTGTGCAAAGTATGTAACATGCAGAAGGAAGCATCTCCGACCCCATAAAGTATATATATTCTGACGAGAGAAATCCAAATCAAACTTGCAAACATAATTTCTATATAATTATCTACTTTTGTTTCAAATTTCATCTTAATTGGTTGGTTCTAAGAAAAGTTATTAGCGAAACAATTTTTGTGCGGTACTACGCCGATAAGCTGCAGCATCAAGTACGCTCTTCTTCTTCGTTTTGCTTCTGCTAGAGGCGTATTTACCTCAGTGCCGGAAGGTACATGGGTACATGGTATTTCACTGTCGGGCTTGCTCGAGTGTAGCGTTCTCCCTTGTTCTGCTGATGGACGCATACTAACTAAATGTAATAATATGTAAGAAAATAACTTAAGTGTTCATTTGGAATAACAATTTAAAGACTCCTTATTGAAGTATTTCGTTCACATTGAACAAATTTTGATAGCGTTTCTAAGCATACTATATTACCCATCTTCATAGATAATAGGTAAGTGATAAAGATTGATATATAGATTCATAGACAGATAGTCGTAAAGACAGATTTAAATTTAGATAGAGATATATTTGGTAGATATATACAGGAATTTAATTTACATAACTTCAGACAACCATTCAAAAATCGATTTATTTCGCTCACAGCTTTTGTAAGTAGCAGCTAAAACCAAATACCACCATTACATTACGCATTTCCCATTTTACAATTATTTTCGGTTAACTGAGTAGGTTGGGAAGTAAATATCACTTCTGTCCGACTGCATCATCATGAAGCCCACTTGGCTGGCGTTGTGTCTGACTTTGGTTATTTTGTTATTGGTGCAGAAGACTGCAGGAGATTGGGAATGTGGAGACTTTTGGGGAGCAATTTGTGCATATCTGTATCCAGATCAATTTCCCCCCAAGGACGCCTAATTTGAAACGCCTATTGGAAGTTCCCCTAAGTGCAGATATTCAAACATTTGATGACCCTAAATGATCATAAAATAGCGGAGTATTCTTCAAATGAAAATTAAATATATATACGTGCTTAAATATTCTCTGTTCAATTTTGTAGATAATTTTTTCAAATATTGCCAATTCTTCAATTCAAGCTTTAGAAGCTCTACTGAAATACAAATGAGCTTTATTTTGTTAATAAAATCGAAATAGACCAATTGA